CTATTCAGACTCTTTTGATTTCTGTTTTTACCTATAATCCACTTCAGTCTGTATTTTCAGAGCTTGTCTCTGTCTAGCTCTGCACTAAGAATTGTACAAGTTATAGGAAAAGGAGAAACTTGGTCTCTGGTTGGAAGGAGCTGGAAATCTAGCTTTGAAAATCGTATTTGATGCATGTGAGCCAGACTGAGCGAGGAAGAGGGCTCGGGAGGCTTGAGAGGCAGCGTCTCTTACCTCCAGGCATGAGAAGGGCAGGGCCATGCTGGAGGGCACATGTCTGCTGTACTGCTGAAACTGCTGAAGTCCATCCTGTACTGCCAGATTCAGAGAGGCCCTCTGTGCTCGGAAACAGCCTTCTCTCTGGACCACACGCAGCTCTGAGACGCACGTCTGCAATCTAGCAAAGTTCCCTTTCACTTGCTGCAGAAAGAAAGGAGTTAACACATTTTCAGTGTCCATGTCTCAGAGTAATTGGCAGCCTAAAGTCACTGTCAGTTTCTCCTCAGCAGTTTCTTCCCTTCCTGAAAATCTGCTCATTTCTCCAACATCTACTGGATGGTTGTAATCACTGCATCAAACCTGACCTACCCCAAATAAATGAATATTTGCAGCTCAGAAGGTTTGATTGCCTCTTACACGCAGTTCAAGGAGCCCTAGTGCCACAGACTGCTAACTAATCCCACAGGCGCTCCTCTGGCATCCACCAGCTACTCCAGCAATCTTCTCCAGTGTGATTTACAGCCTGTGAAAACGCACTGGAGGGGCAGCTCTAAGTCAGGTCCACCTTGGCAGCAAGGAGGTGCGGACCAGAAACAGGAAAGGAAGTGATTTTACTAGCGCATTCACTCCCCCAAAAGTAGGGGCGTCAAGAGTGCTCAGCCTTGCTTTGGGTTGACCTGTGAACTGGAGGCCCCGAGGGCCATCATGAAACATTCTCCTCATTTCTTAGCTGAGGCACTCTGTGTGTGTGTCTATTCAAGAAGCTGATGGCTCCCCAGAAAGGAAGAGTTTGATTGTTTCAGAGTTGGTAAAGTTTTACCTAATCGACTCCCCATGACTGCGTCTGTAGACAGAGTCTGCTGTTAGCTCAAAGGGTCAACATGTAAACCTTGGGCAAGTGACCTTTTGGTTATTCTCATCCTCTTTTATAAAACTTGTTTTTAGGAAGTAATTGAACATGATTGAATTCTAGGTTAGTGTTATTTCTCTCAAGCAAGAGCAAGGGCCTTATAGTCACAGCCATATTTGACCTTTATCAACTTCACGAAGGGGAACTGACCCCATTGACAACACCAACAACACAAAACCAATTCCCATGAAATCAGACACATGTCCCCCAAACTCTCACACCTCTTTCTACTCATCCCAGTACCAATATTACTGCTTTAGTCTAAAATCGAATGCCAAAGCCCACAGACCACAGAGAACCATTTTGGGGAAGTCAAAGGCTAGAAACATAGTTTGTAGTAGAATAGAGTCAGGACCACTTCTGATATGTGCTCGCAGGCACTTCAGCCTTGAGCCTTATGGCTTTAGGCCATTCTACAAAGCTCTCAGGCCTGCCAAGATTGGCTTTCCCTCTTTCTCCCCAGTCCTCCAACAAACGTGGGTGAAAGGCTCTTAGTTCTGTCCCAAAGTAGCAGTCCCAAGGTCGGATGGCTGCTTCTCTGCTGTGGTTGCTATGGTAGTTGCTCCCATAGACCCTAGTCTGGCTGGTCCAAGAATCGCGGGTCCTGTAGGATGAGTTGCACTGTCTTGCTTGCTCTTTTCTGCTGGTGAGGTCCCCCCCATTCTACTGCTGGATCCACTCAATTTAATGGCAAGACTAGCCAATCCCTTCATGAATTCGTGAGACTAGCCAATCCCCTTGTGGATTGGTGAAACTGGCCAATCCTCTTGTGGACAGAATAACACACTTTATTTGTATATTCCCACCCATTCACATAGCAAAGGCAAATTCAGTGACTAGGAAAGCCATTCTGAATAATAAACTCTTCACGCCACATAAGCATTTTGAATACATATGAGGTGAAAAAATTAGAACTACTTGAAGGAATTTCAATCGTCAATAGCAGGTGGAGGACGGGGAAGAAGTCTATCCTTGAGGTGGGAAACCTTCTTGACCACACAGCATAACTGAGCAATATTTCCAAAGCACTCATCTAAAACACATGGGCGTGAGCTGTATCTAGGAGTGAGGATGCTGTATGTCGACCCCTGCTTTCTTCAGGTTCTGACTGCTTGCTTTCCACAAATCTCTAGAGAAAACACAAGAAATAGGACACAGTTCCTACACAAGGGCACTTACATGCTAGATAAGAAGATAGGAAAACCACTCAAGGGGAAAAAATGAGAACAAATGAGACCACAAGCACAGACGAGTGACCTTTGAGCATTTCATCTCATCAACCAGCCTAAGAGAATTCAGAAAAAAGATGACACATTCTTTAACATGCTTTTAAGTCAACATCTATAGTTGCTCTTTTTTAACCCAAGCATAAGCAGTTGCTAAGGTTGTTAACTTCCAGCACACTGCACACATCAGCGTCTAAAGACGAAACGGTAACATCATTCTTGAAACATAAGCAAATGGAACACAAGCTCCGTTGTGATTTTGATGTGCAGTGTCATTCAAGCTCAGAAGAGCAAGCTCTTCTCTTTCACAGCTGGGCTTTCACAGTGCTCCTTTTCTCTCCTTGAACGCATGTTTCTTCTTCACTTCCGCCACAGAGAATTTGATCTTAATGCAAAAAAATGTTATGCTTGGCAATCTTTTATTGATTATTCTGTTAGATTGCTTTTGCAACAAAAATACCTATACTTTGCACATTTTTAAGCTTCCTATGAAGTTCACAGATTCTAGAGGGTAGAAGCATATTCCATATTGAGTTATTATGACAATCATCAGTCATATACAAAAGATTAAAACAACATACAGATTACCAATTTTGAGAAATAATTACTTGTTGCAGACTGAGGGTAAAGTATTTTTGTAATTATTAAGAATGAGACAGATAGCCAAGAATGAGATAGAAGAGAGAGCCTAAAAACAGGGGCCAGCAGTTCTCTACTGAAGGGCCCCATTCCAGTTTCCCTGCACCTTTATTGAAAATTATCAGGAAGCAAATCACATAGAGAACTCAACGCAAATGAAGCCAAGCTCTTTGTATTGAAAACCTTCCTCTTGACTCAGGAGGGAGGGGTCAGCAAATTCAAGAATCTGGTAAATGCTTAAGGATGGCCTAGGTGCCTCAGGGTGAACTCCAGCTTGAACCTTACCTCCAGGACATCCTGATAGCTTTGGTTTATTACAAAGATTTAGTACTGGCTTCCCATAATTCAGCATAAACCTCAATTGGAAATATACCTCTTACTGGCACAGTTTGTTTTTTTTAAAAAAAGTTTAATTCATGCAACCACTGTGGAAAGTGGTGTGGCGCTTTCTCAAAAAGTTGCAAATAGAGATACCATTTGACCCAGCAATTCCACTACTGGGAATATATCCCAAAGAGACCATAACTGACACTCAAGCAGATATATGTACATCCATGTTTATTGTGACTTTGTTCACAATAGCAAGGAGTTGGAAACAACCTAAGTGCCCATCAACAAACAAACGGATAGAGAACCTGTGGTTTATTCACACAATGGAATACTATGCAGCATTGTAAAACAAGGAATTCATGCAATAGTATTCAAATTGGTGACCCTGGAGGACACTTTGCTGAATGGAGTATCTCAGTCACAAAAGGACAAATACTGCATGGTGCCACTGTTGTAGAATGGGACTGACATCAGGGGTGGGGTAAGACTGAGAAAAACTGGATAAATTATGTATACTGCATTGAAACAGATGAGGGAGAGAATAATTTAAAAATGATATATGATAGGGTATTATGGTTATCACAAGAGTCCAGAATTAAGGTTGCACTGTGGAGTGTACTCAGGGCGGTGGAAGGGGTATGGGGGGATTGTCTATCAAAGAAGGAATTTTTTTTGCTTTTCTAAGAGAGGAGCGAACTGGGGGTGGGGGAGGGCTGGGCAGGGAAAAAAGTGCAACAATGAATGAATGGAAATCCAAATTCTCTGTAAATGTTCATTAGAATTAATAAAATAAAATTTTAAAAAAAGAAACACACACAAAGTTTAATTCAGCTATGTGTAAATAACTATTTTATTGCTGGAATGAATCAATATTCCTCAAGCCTCGTTGCTGTTGAGTTGGAACTGACTCCTAGCTGACGCTCCAGAGCAGGTTTTCAGAGGCTGCAGTCCTGGGGGAGCAGATTTCCCGTCTTTACCCTTCAGAACCCCCTTTACTGGCTACTACACAAACATTCATTTGTCTCATGTGGGTAAGGTTGGATGTGGAGAGCGCTCAGAACAATTCAGGAGATGCTTGTGAAAGAAACAAGATTTTTTCTGGGAGGGAAAGGACTCACAAGGAAAAAGAGCACTTGGTGGAGTTGAACCACTTGTCTTTGGGTTGACAACCAAGTAAACAGCTAAGGCAGCAGGCCAGCACATCTTCCTCTAGTTTCAATACGATTTCAATTTTTTATTACAGCACTGAGAAACCATATCCTCGTAAATAGGCTGTCAACTAGATTTTGAAACTCTTTCCAAAAAATCCTACAGACAACTACCAATAAAAACAACTTAGAGGTTATCTCAGCTGATGCTCCATTTAACTATTTGTCAGTTTTGCTAAAAACAAGGCATTGAACCCTTCTGCTTCTGTCGGGGAGGAGTCAGGACCACAGGCAAGTGCAGATTCAGATTTAAGCTCATTGATACTGGTATCAACTTGACTGATCCTATGTTCAGAGGAACTTATAGAGGGGTTTAAAAAAATACAGATGAGGGAAGACAGAAAAGGAAGGGAGGAATGATGTAATTGCATTGAGACAGATGATGGAGAGAACTATTTAAAAGGGACATATGAATGGGTATTCTTGCCATTACAGAAGTCCAGAGTGAAGGCTGCATAGTGGAGTGGACTTGGGGGGGGGAGGGATTGCATAACAATGAAAGAGTTTTTCTTTCTTTTCAAGGAGAAGAGTGAATTGAGGGGGAGGAGGTGGGTAGGGAGAAAAGTACAACAATGAATGACTGGAAACCCTGTCTCTGTAAACTTTCATTAAAAATGAATTAAAAGATTAAAAAAATACAGATGATTTACAGGCTATAGTGGAAAAAGCGGTACAGACTGGTGTTAAAAAGTTTATGACTGCAAACATCAAATGCTGGTGAGGTTGTGGAGAAACTGGAACCCTTATTCACTGTTGGTGGAAGTGTAAAATGGTGCAACTACTATGGAAGGCTGTATGGCGCTTTCGCAAAAAATTGCAAATACAAATACCATTTGAGCCAGCAATTCCACTACTGGGAATTTACCTTAAAGAAACCATAACTGCCAT